CACAAATACCATTAACAAGCAAACTACAAACTACAATACTGTTAATATTAATAGATTAACAAACTACAAAATAAATTCACTCCCAATAAATTAAGGAGACAATATAGGAGTAATAAGATTTTGTAATTAGAAACAGAGATTTTATTAAAAATTGTTTTTTTTTTTCAAAATATAATAGTATTTCCTCGGTCTCAAACAGGAAATAATTAATTATACTTAATCTCTGCCACACATTTAATCCTCACGCATCATCCAAGTAAAAAAATAAAATATATATTTCTCTCCATCACATCATCTAATTTCTAAATTATCCTACCTAATACTACACACCTAAAAATTCGTGCCAAAAGCAAATGTTGCACCTTATTTGGGACGGATGGAGTATAATGTTTTCCATTTAACATATTAAATCTAACAAATATTTTCAAAATATAAGGATGTATAATACCAATTAACACATCTAAAAAAATAATTTAAATTTAAATTCATGAAACTAAAATAGCTATTCAAATATTGTATCCACTCAATCTTTTATTTGAAACTTATTTGAAGTCACTGATGTTTTCATAAATATTATATTTTCAAGAGGAATAGTATGATGAAATATGTGATTCAGCTCCGCTGAAATCAATTGTAGCCATTAATTATTAAATAATTTAAATTATTTTTAATTCATTAAAATTATTGAATAGAACAAATTTCAGCAAGTGTTGAATTAATTAATTAGCTCAGCACAGGATCCAATCTCTTAAGTTTTAGTCATTTTAGGATATAAAATAATTAATATTAAAGATTATCAATATTGATATTAGCAATATTAATTTGAATTTATATTTATTTATATAATAATTTGATATTTATTCTTAATGCATATATATATATATATATATATATATATATATATGATTATAAGAGATTTTGTCTCGTTGTATCCGATACCCTATAAAGATTGGAAACAGCCCTACAAGTTGAAAGTTGACTATGATTACGACAGATCTTAAATATGTAAACAACGGCGATGACGACACATCTAAGATGTAAAGCTGATGGTTTGTAATTTTAATTCCCTCAAATCATTATAGTACATTCATAAACCATAGATTAACTTAGCAAAATTGCATTTGATACATAAGATCAATAAGAATGTGAAAAGAGAATATATATATATATATATGATAATAGCTTATTATTATTATTATCATTATTATTATTAGTTTGTAAGAAAAATTTAGACTTCTTGGCCATATAGATTTAGCTGTCTATCCGATCCGAAATCAAAACCAAAAGGCTGTTTTAATTGGCAAGGTTTCTTTTGAGCTCATCCTAATTAATAATAAATGAGCTTACAGTTTAAGATGTTTTTGGGTGCTTATAAATAGACAGCTATGGTTCCTAGCTGTTTGACAATGATTGTAACTCTCTGAATCAGTATAATAAAATCTCTCCGGTTCCTGCCCGTGGACGTAGGTTGACACACTATTACTGAACCATGTAAAACCTCTGTATACTTTATTTGCTTTCTTTCTCGTTTTCTCATAACAAGTATGTAAGAGTGATATGCGATCATCACTAATTTGTGGTGATGAGAAACTCTATTATATATCCAAGATTACAACGTAAAGTGTGGAAAATATACTACATAATTACAGCAGATTGCGGAAAATAAGGAATACAATATATTTAAAGTATGAAAAATATACTTCATAATTACAACAGATTGCGGAAAATAAGGAATAATACATTTTCAACTCTTTCCTTTAATATCCCCCGTCAAGCGTTGCGTGGGGTGTGAGCGAACGCAAAGCTTGGATCGCAGAAGCTCAAATGCCGGTCGCGGCAGCACCTTTGTGAAAATGTCTGTGAGCTGAAGATGAGAGGGCACAAACTGAGTAAGCAGCTTGCCTGAAGAAACAAGCTCACGAATGAAATGACAATCAATGTCAATATGCTTAGCTCGTTTGTGAGAGACAGGATTCTGATTGAGGAAAATGGCACTTCTGTTGTCACAGAATAGCGTCGCAGGAAGGGTGGGTGACTGATGAAGTTCTTTGAGTAAATTAAGCAGCCAAACAACCTCTGCCCCGGCGTTGGCCAAGGCTCGATATTCAGATTCACAACTAGAACGGGCAACGGTAGGTTGCTTCTTGGCACTCCAAGAGACGAGATTTCCTTCAAAAAATATAGAGTAACCATAAGTGGAGCGACCAGTCTCGAGGCATCTGGCCCAGTCAGCATTGGAATAACCCACAACAGAAGTTTTGGGATGATGTGTGAAGTGAAGGCCATAATGAAGGGTTCCTTTGACGTATCGCAAAATACGCTTCACGGCCAGAAAGTGCTCATCGGTAGGAGAATGGAGATACTGACTGACTGTGTTAACAACAAATGAGAGGTCGGACCTAGTAAGAGTTAGATACTGCAACGCCCCCACCAGAGAGCGATAAAGAGTAGGGTCACCAAACGAAGAGCTAGTACTCTACAAGGATGTTCCGGCAGCTAGTGGTGTGGCAACAGGTTTGCAGTCTAATATTTCAGCACGATCCAGAATGTCATGAGCATATTTAGCCTGTCCAATGAAAAGACCATTAGAAGTATAAGAAACTTCTAACCCCAAAAAATAGTTCAACCGCCCTAGATCCTTAATAGCAAATTCGGTGTGAGTGAGAGCAATAAATTGTTGAAGAAGAGACCGATTATTTCCTGTGAGGATAATATCATCAACATACAGTAAAAGGTATAGAAGTGACGACCCTTTCTGAAGGCAGAATAGGGACGAGTCCGAACGAGTCTGATAAAATCCTAACTTCAACAGATACGAGCTGAACGCTGAAACCTAGCCAAAGGGGCCTGCCGAAGACCATATAATGCCTTTTTGAACTTGCATAGATGAGTCAGACTCCGGGGATCAATGAAGCCCGGCGGTTGAGCCATGTAGACAAGTTTGTCCAGAACCCCATTTAAGAAGGCATTTTTCACATCCAATTGATGCAGAGGCCAATTATGATGTACAGCGAGTGCTAGAATGGTGCGAACAGTAGAGGTCTTCACAACATGACTGAATGTGTTATGAAAGTCCGAGCTAGGAACTTGTGTAAAACCCTGAGCAACAAGTCGAGCTTTGTGACGCTCAATAGAGCCATCGGACAGGTACTTGGTCCGGAACACCCATTTTGAGCCAACAATGTTGGTGTTATGGGGTGGATGTACTAAATCCGATGTCTGATTCTGCAGGAGTGCATCAAACTCCTCCTGCATTGCAGCCGTCCAGTGAGGATATTTAGAGGCCGACTTGAAGCCTCGTGGCTCGGAAGCACCTACCAAAGAGGTAAGTAAAGCAGTGGAAGCTAGATCAACAGGGTACTTCGGTTTGAAAATACCCGATTGAGATCGAGTGAGCATCCGACGAGGAACCAGAGGTGCCGAAGGTAGAGGAGGCGGTATAAGAGCATTAACCGGCTCAAGAGTAGGTACCTTAGGTGGTGGTGATTCAGGCAATGGTGGAACATCAGGATCATCAGCCGGAGCATGTCCCGGAGTTTCCGGAATCAACTCCGGATCAAAAAGTAGGCGACATGGCACAGGTTCTGAGGGTGATGAATCAGATGTAGAATGAGCAACATGCACCGAGGTCGGTTCCAAGAAATTGGATACAGGTAAATCATGACCTGCAGCCGAAGCATTTCCAGAGAAGGGGAAAACTTGTTCATCAAACTGTGCATGCCGAGTAATGTAGATGCGTGCGGAAGAAGGATCAAAACATCGAAACCCCCTATTAGTGCTGCTATAACCCAAGAAAATGCAGGGACGACTGCGAGAAAAGAGTTTATTCTCTGCATAATGCCGAAGAAAAGGGAATACCCGACATCCAAAGGGTTTAAAAATAGCATAACTGGGAGCAGATTGAAATAGCAGTTCATATGGTGATGTGTTGCCCAGTGTAGCGGATGGAAGCCGATTGATGACATAGACAGCTGTGGTGAATGCTTCAAACCACAAAGTTGCTGGAGTAGAAACATGAAATAGCATCGAGAGACCCGTCTCAGTAATGTGACGATGTTTTCGTCCAGCTCTCCCATTTTGTTGTGGAGTATATGGACAAGAGAGGCGGTGGAATATGCCATGCTGGTTCATAAAGTTAGTTACACGTTTGTTCACAAATTTGATTACTCCATCAGACTGAAAAACTTTCACAGAACGAGAAAATTGTGTACAAACAAAAGTATAGAAACGAACCAAAACCTCAAAAAAATCTGACTTAGCACACAGAGGATAAAGCCAAGAAAAACGAGAGAATCATCCACAAAAACAGCATAATAACGGTAACCAGTAGAGGATAGAACAGGCGAAGGCCCCCATAAATCACAGTGCACCAAATCAAGAACAGAGGTAGCACGTTTTTCATTCAAAGCAAACGGTAATTTCTTGCTCTTTGCCAATTGGCAAGGAGAGCAAACAATTGGATTGGGCAGAACAGATGTGACTGATAAATGTCCCAGTTTATTTAACAATGCAATAGTGCTAAAAGAAACATGTCCAAGGCTTAAGTGCCATAAATTAAAACTGGCTTCTAAAGCTTTAGTGCGCAAAGCTGTAAGGATGGCCGATTTATTGTCACACTTCTCAAGCACATAAAGGCCATTCTTACATTTTCCCTGAGCTAGGACTTCCTTTGTCAACCGATTCTGAATGGTAAAATACTTATTAGTAAACACCGCCTCAACATTGGAATATGATGTCAGTTTACTAATGGAGACTAGACTTTTAGAGATATTTGGAACCACCAACACATCAAACAGATCAAGATTATGACATATATGACCGGAACCAATGTGAGAAATAGAAATATTATGTCCATTGCCAACAATAACTGAACCCTTACCGGAATAGGGCACAAATGAATCCAACTGGGCGGGCTGATTTGTCATGTGAGCTGATGCCCCTGAATCAACGTACCAATCCGAAGGAGGGGTGTCGCCCACATTGCAGGTTGTGTTGAAGGCTTAAGCGAGGTGCGCCGCCTCAGTTTGGTTGTTGTATCCGACTGGTCGGGAGGCTGCACGCTGCAACTCCAGGTAGCGAGGCCAGTGATCTGCATAGTGTTCTCAACAGCAAAGCTGACACCGTGGAGTGAAGGGACGGCGACCACCTTGACGGCCACCTCCACAACGCTGTTGACTCATCGATCAACTACCACGATGCCTAGGCTGGTTCGAACCATGGCCTCCAGACGGCTCATAAGAGGCAGCGAAGGCAACAGACGGCGCATTTGCTCCCTCCATGGATTTTTGCATAAGTTCAAACTGCATTTCTTGGTGCAACAAATCACGAAAAGGAGGGATAGGATTCATGGACATTCGCGTATCAGCGAAGTTGAAGAAGACGTGTCCAAGGCCATGAAGAAACCAGTGTCTTTTCTCTCCTTCATCAAGCGGACGTTGGCGCAGAGAGTTGATCACAGATCGCCTTGAACTGCTTGCCGTATTCAACGACTGGTTAGCTGTTACGACGCAAGGAGAGGAGTTCCTCCTTCAGTTGGTTGGCGCGCAAGGCTGACACATACGCGAATGCTGATTCTAGAGCAAGCCAGGCCGATCGGAAGGAGCGGCAATCCAAGACCTCCGCCATCGCTTCCGGCTTAAGCGTGGCGTACAAAACTCCCAACAACTTTTGTTCCTGGAGAAACCATGCCGAATAGAGAGGATTCGGCACCTCCTCACCGGCATCATTCCGAACAGTTTTGGCCAGTGCAGTGGTTGTGCCTTTGACGACATCCATGAATTCGAAGGTGGCGGCCATTGAGAGAAATTGACGATGCCACATCAGATAATTGGATGAAGATTATTTAATTTGAACGAGATTGATCATTGCAGTGGTTTGTGCCACCACGATCAGAGAAAGAATGAAGCAGATTAGGGTTTCAAAGAGTTTAGACTGATACCATGATCAATGAAATGACAATCAATGTCAATATGCTTAGCTCGTTTGTGAGAGACAGGATTGTGATTGAGGAAAATGGCACTTCTGTTGTCACAGAATAGCGTCGCAGGAAGGGTGGGCGACTGATGAAGTTCTTTGAGTAAATTAAGTAGCCAAACAACCTCTGCCCCGGCGTTGGCCAAGGCTTGATATTCAGATTCACAACTAGAACGGGCAACGGTAGGTTGCTTCTTGGCACTCCAAGAGACTCGAAGATGTATCAGAGTCATATCTAATTGATTGAAGATGTCCTCGTATAAGTTTGATTTGGAAAAGTTTATTGGGTCAAATGACTTCACACTCTGGAAGGTCAAGATGAGGGCACTTCTAGTTCAACAGGGATGTGCGGCTGCGTAAGAGGGAAAAAACAAGTTTCCTTAAGAGTCGAAAGAGGAGGTGAAGAAGGAAATTTTGGCAAAGGCTCATTCTGCGATCTTGCTGTCAATTACTAATGAGGTATTACGGGAGGTTGTAGATCAGACGACGACTTCTGGGCTATGGGATAAACTGTGTGAGAAGTACCATAGCAACTCTCTCACGAACAGGTTATATAAGAAGCAACGACTTTACACCTTCCGGATGTCTGAAAGTACTCAGGTAAATGATCATCTTGATACCTTTAACCGTATTATTCTTGATCTTCAAGGGTTGAGGTTAAAATAGATGATGAAGATTTAGCCCTAATTTTACTGTGTTCACTACTTGATTCATATGAGAATTTTGTAGATACTATGTTATATGGTAGAATTAAAATTTTTGTTAATGATGTGAATGATGTCCTTATGTCCAAAGAATTGAATAAAAAAGATTTCTTTAAAAGAGGCTTCTGGTTTAGGTCTATTTGCAGGTAGGGGAAGACCACATGAGAGGAGTAATGGGAATGGGAGGTTGCATTCAAAATCAAAATTCTCTAGAAAAGTTAAGTGTTACCTTTGCAAGGAGAATGAGCACATTACTAGGGATTGTCCATAGAAGAAGGAAAATACAAAAGTTAGTCTAGTAACAGTGGCAGTGTTGTTGTGCTACAAGATAGTTCTGATGATTGGGACCTTGGTGAAGTTCTGACAATGTTCAGTGTTAGTACTGCTAATACCTGGATTATAAATACCGGTGCTTCTCACCATATGACGTTTTGTGGTGATCTACTCACTTCTTTCAAGGAGTCGAATAGAATGGTAAAGTTAGGTGATGATGGGGTTCTAGTTTTAAAGGGGAGCGGGATAGTGCAGTTAAAATTGCATGACGGTACTGTCAGAAAATTTGACAGCTAGTATGTTTCTGAACTCAGAAAGAATTCGATTTCTCTTGGCACCTTAGCCAAGAATGGTTTAAAATATCATGGTGAAGGTGAGTGGGTGAAAGTCGTGAAAGCTGCTCTGGTGCTGATGAAGAGAAAACTACAACATGGAATTTATTTTCTACAGGGTAGTTCAGTGATAGGAATGGTAGCGGTATCCCAGTCCTTGGATAAACATGATGACAGGACAAATTTGTGGCACCGTCGATTGGGTCACATAAATAAGTAGGGATTGTTTGTGCTGAGCAAGCAGGGTTTATTTGGTGGGGATGTGACAGGTAAAATTCAATTATGTGAGGCTTGTGTAAAAGGGAAGCAGCGCAGAGTGAGGTTTAGTACGGGTATCACACTTCAAAAGAAATTTTGGAGCATGTTCATTCAGATTTATGGGGTCCCTCTCATGTGAAATCGCATGGCGGTTGTTCTTACTTTGTCACTTTCATAGATTATTATTCAAGAAAAGTATGGTTGTACTTTTTGAAGACTAAAGATGAGGTGTTTGGGAAGTTCAAGGAGTGGAAGACCACGGTTGAAAAACGGACGGGTAAACAGGTCAATATTCTAAGAACTGATAATGGATTGGAGTTCTGCAATGCTCCATTTGATGATTTCTGCAAGAAAAAAGGTATAGTGAGGCACCGCACTGTACGCTATACACCACAGAAAAATGGGATTGCAGAGCATATGAACCATACCCTCATGGCGCGTGTTAGCTATATGCGCATATTTGCTGGCTTATCTAAGCAATTTTGGTTAAAGCAGTTAACACTACTAGTTATATGGTTAATAGATCTTCATCAACTACAATTGACTTAAAGACTCCTCAAGAGGTATGGTCCGGTAAACCCTTTGATTACTCTAATCTAAAAATATTTGGATTCCCTACATACGCTCATGCAAATGATAGTAAGCTGGAGCCAAGGGCGGTAAAATGGATATTTCTAAGGTTATCGACTGTGGTGCATAAAAGGTAAAAATCCTGATAAATTTCTTATTAGCAAAAATGTAACCTTTGATGAATCTGCTATGCTTTATCAGAGTAGAGGTTGTGAAAGTATTTCGAATTGTGGTGCTAACCAGAATGTGGAGTTTGAGACTCCTGACATAGTTATGTTAGAAGAAGAGCAGCAGGATAGTACTATTGATCAATCCAATCAACCAGATCAGTCAAAACCTCAAGGAAAACCGGTTGGGGAGGAAGCTGATGACAGTGGTATTAGGGTTAAAGATTCCATAGCAGCTAGAAAGGGAAAGAGAAATATTCAAAAACTATCTAGGTTTGCAGGATGTGTCAATACATGTGATATGAATTATGTGGCTTATGCATTAGCGTTTGTTGATGATCTTGGCTCTGATAAGCCAAGGACATATAAAGAAGCTGTGGTGAGTAAATATGCAGAAAACTAGATTATAGCAATGAATGAAGAGATGCAATCTCTTGAAAAGAACAAGACTTGAAATCTCATTGCACTACCAAAAGGGGTGAAGCCATTGGAATGTAAATGGGTCTTTAAAAGAAATAAGGGAATTCCCGGTGTTGAATCTGCTAGGTTCAAGGAGTGACTGGTGGCAAAAGGATTCTCACAGAAGAAAGGAATTGATTACCATGAAGTCTTTTATCATGTGGTGAAACACAAAAATATTTGGGTTCTTTTGGCAGTGGTGGGTGTTTTTGATCTGGAGCTGGAGCAACTTGATGTAAAAACAACATCCCTTCATGGTAATCTAGAAGAACGAATTTACATGTCTCAACCGGAGGGGTTCGAGAGTTCTAAAAGGGACCAGGTATGCTTGTTAAAGAAATCTCTATATGGTTTGAAGCAGTCTCCGAGGCAGTGGTACAAGAGATTTGATTCGTTCATGGTGTCTAATGGTTATACTCGTAATCAGCTTAATAAATGTGTTTACTCGAAGAAAGTTTCTAGTGATTTTTTTGTGTATCTGTTGTTGTATGTGGATGATATGTTAATTGCAGCTAAAATCATGATTGTAATTAATGACTTGAAGGCTCTACTAAAGGGTGAGTTTGAGATGAAAGATTTGGGTGTGGCAAAGAAAATATTGGGTATGGAGATATGGCGTGATAGAAAAGCAGGACAGCTTTGGCTTTCTCAAGAAAAGTATATTGAAAAAGTTTTGCAGGCATTCTCTGTTGATTAGTCCAAACCGGTAAATACCTCTTTGGCGGCACACTTTAAACTTGATCGAAGCACTATTTTAGCTACAGATCAAGAGGTTAACTACATGAAGACGGTTTCATATTCAAGTGCAGTTGGAAGTCTTATGTATGCGATGGTATGTACGAGACTGGACCTCGCTTATGCGGTTAGTGTGGTGAGTAAGTTTATGGCTAATTCGGGTAAAGCTCACTGGGTTGCTGTAAAGTGGATCTTGCGATATCTGAAAGGAAGGTCTGATATTTATCTAGTATATGATGATAAAGGCCATGGTGATGGTGTGGTTGGCTATGCAGACTCTGATTACGGGGGTGACTTGGTGAAATGAATATCACTGACTTGTTTTATCTTCACTCTGTTTGGATGTGTAGTCAGTTGAAGTCTACTTTACAACCTATGGTTGCATTGTCGATGACTTAGGTGGAATACATGTAAATGACTGAAGGTATTAAGGAGGGTAGCTGGTTACATGGTCTGGTGCAGAGTTTGGGTCTGAAGGTGGAGAAATCAGTGTTATTCTGTGATAGTCAGAGTGCTTTGAGTTTGGCTAAAAATCCGGTGTATCACGAGAAAACCAAGCATATTGATGTAAGGTTGAATTTTTATCCATAATGTTCTCGAGGAAAACAGGTTTTCTATTCAGAAAATAGTTACATAACACAATCCAGCCGATATGTTGACAAAGGCGCTACCAACGAGAAATTCAAGCATTGCTTGAACTTTGTGAATATTCGCATGAGGTAAAGTCCCCTTGGGGCATCTGGCAGGAAGGAGACGACTGAGAAAAATACTGAGGAACCTTTGGCGGTTGGAGAAACTCCAAGTCAAGGTGGAGATTGTTGAACCGTGACTAGGATTTAGCGGTCTACCGACCCGGAACCAAAGCGTAAAAGGCTGTTTCAATTAACATGGTTCTTTTTGGGCCCATCCTAATTAATAACAAATGGGCTTAGGGTTTAGGGTGTTTTGAAGTGCTTATAAATAGAAAGTTATTGTTCCTAGCCATTTGACAATGATTGTAATTCTCTGAATCAGTATAATAAAATCTCTCTGGTTCATGTCCGTTGACGTAGGTTGATACACCGTCACTGAATCACGTAAAACGTCTGTGCTCTTTACTTGTTTTCTTTCTAGTTTTCTCATAACAGTTTTAGACTAGACTTTAATTTTGTGATCCATTATTCATTTAAGTTTAAATAATATAACATTAAAACCTTAATTAATTGAAATAAAAAATTAATTGAAAAATCAATCCGAGAAGAATAAGTGAATATAATTTCAAAATAACTTTTTAAAGATATATATCTATATATACTAATATCAATTAATTGTGATTTCTTAAAATA